CCTGCCGTTGGTGACCTCAGGCCTAGAGAGGACATGCTAAGGAGGGCGGCCTCCTGCATTGGTGACCTCAGGCCTAGAGAGGACAGGCTAAGGAGGGTGGCCTCCTGCATTGGTGACCTCAGGCCTAGAGAGGACATGCTAAGGAGGGTGGTCTCCTGCATTGGTGACCTCAGGCCTAGATAGGACATCCTATGGAGATGGCCTCCTGCACTGGTGACCTCAGGCCTAGAGAGCACATGCTACAAAGGGTGGCCTCCTGCCATTGGTGACCATAGACCTAGAGAGCACATGCTAAGGAGGGCGGCCTGCTGCCATTGGTGACCTCAGGCCTAGAGAGGACATCCTATGGAGATGGCCTCCTGCACTAGTGACCTCAGGCCTAGAGGGCACATGCTACAGAGGGTGGCCTCCTGCATTGGTGACCTTAGGTCCTCAGTTCAACAATACTGCAGGAAGTAAATTTGCCAGTAGCCGTGTGATTGAACTTGGAAGAAGATCCATCTCAATTCAAGTCTTCAGATGAGACTGCCACCCTGGAAAACACCTTAATGATAATCTTCTGAGAGATCTTGAAGCATAGAACCCAGCTAAGCTGTGGCCAGATTTCTGACCAGAAACTGTGAATGAATAAAGGTACCTCATTTTATATTGTTAAGTTTGGGGACAATTTGACATACACCAATAGATAACTAATACAGTAGTTAATGACTGAGCCAAGATTCTAGTGTCATTTCCATAATAACAACAACAACAATGATGGCCAATATAGTACAGCCTCTATAGTTGACCACTTCCCTACACTGACCACTTCTTAAGATGACCTTGAGATGAGGCCTAGGTCCTTATGTTGACCACCTACGTATATTGACCAGTTTGTTACAGTCCCTTGGGTGAGGTCAACTTACAGAGGTCCTACTGTATGGAACTTTTGGGTTCCAGATGCCATTCTTAGTACTTTATATAATTCCTCACCAAAATCCTTTGAAGACCATATAATTTATCCCTGTTTTACAGATGAGGAAACTGAGTAGAGACTCAGTAACTTGTCCAAGGTCACACAGACAAAAAAAAAACAATAGCAAGTATTGGAACCTAGGTGTCCTGGTTCTAGCATCAGAGCTCATAGCAACTGACCTCATAGCAGAACCAATAAAGAGGGAGGGCTGAACACTGGAAGGACGGTGGCCATGTACGTAGTACCAAAGAAGATTTCAAAGGCACAAAGATTAGAAGCCATGCAAAATGCTAAAAGCAAAAAGAAAGCTTGCTTTTGATTAAGATGCCTTATCTAGGGATTAAAAACCCAGTGGAGAAGAAACAATAAGACAATGAATGGACTGCAATCTTTAAGTCATTGAGTTCACATTTAGAAATGAAAAGATACATTTTTTATAACAGTAAGAGAAAATTAAAAGCTTCCATTTGATGTGATAAAAGCATAACCAAGGAGGCTACAGTTGTATTTTTCCCAAGGGCAACTGTAAGAAGTAAGCATGTAAAGCTGTCAGGAACAGGAACAGACTCAAGAGCCCATTAGAGACTTTTTTTTAAATTTTTTTTTTTTTTATTAAATCATAGCTGTGCACATTAATGCAATCATGGGGTACAGTGTGGTGTTCTCATATACAATTTGAAATGTTTTCATCAAACTGGTTAACATAGCCTTCATGTCATTTTCTTATTGTGTTAAGATGTTTATATTCTACTTTTAGAAAGATTCACTTGTATCCTTGTAAGATAAACCATAGAGGTGATCCCTTCAATCACCCTCCCTCCACCCATCCACCCTCCTCCTCTCTCCTCCCCCTCCCCCATCCCCATATTCTTAGGCTATAATTAGGTTATAGCTTTCATATGAAAGCTGGACTTTTTGTTATACAAAGTGAGAAACTGCAAATTCCTAGGGCAAAGAGGCCAGGAAAGGATAATTCCTATCCTGGCTACAGATTCCTAGATTAAACAGCACTCCACGCTCCCCACACCCTGTCCTTACATCAGACAGCAGCACCTGTTGGTTGTCTCCTCCAGTAGACTCCAGGCTCTCTTACCTCAAAGACTGTCTTATTTACTGGGACATCCTCAAAGCATAGCACAGTGCCTGATATATGGCAAGGGCTTAATATGTATTTGTTGAATAAAGAAATTATTTTGTGAATTGCATCCACTCAATGGGTCATTTCAATGGTACACATTAGTGAAAGTACACATTTTTGTTTTATTTTAAATCCCTTGTAGTTCTTGCACTTCCCTGGGCACTTTTAGTAGGTCTCTGTGTCTCTAGTGCCTCATTTAATATCTGGCACATAGTGGTATACAATAAATATTTGGGAATAAATGAATAAATGTATGTCCCCAAAAGGTAACCAGGCTATACAGCAGGTAAAGATCCAGACTTACAACTAAATAAAGATTAAGTGATCCATAAGGAGAGCTGCTTGCCAACACACAATGATGATGAAGATAATAAATCCCCTTGCTTTTGAAAGAAGGCATGAATACTTGCAAAATGTTCTCCCAATAAAGATTCTTATCTAGGCCGTTGATATTCTTTTTCACAAAAGATAGCAAGTTAAATGTAACATAAAAACTCCAGATAACACAAGATCCAAAGGCATTCATTCAGAAAATTCCTATCTCCTTCAGCATTAAGTCTTTGGAATTTCATGGGAACTTCATGAACATACACTCACATAGGCCCACAGCAATATGGCCATAATGATAAAGGCAGCTGCCAGATATCCCCCTCTTGGTTCTGTTTATCAAGTAAACAAGAGAGAAAAGAGCAAAGGAAAGGTGAGGAGGAAACACACAATCAAGCTCTCAGTCACTCCCAAGACATACTTACTGGAAGCTCAGGGTCACGCTTCAACATCTGAAGAACAAGATAGCTGCCGACTGAATGGCCGATGAGCACAAGCTTCATGTCCCTTGGCACCTGGGTTCTCAGGAAAGCTAGTTTGTGTTCTATTTGACCATTCAGTCCATAGATGTCCTTGATGTCTTGAGCATTTGCATCTAAAAGCAAAGATATGAGCATATTTTCATGCAATAAGTGAGTGTAACCACTGTTAAAATACCTAAAAAAAATGAACAGTCACAATAGCAGTAACCATTTATCAAAAGCCTAAAGTGTGCCAGTTATAACACTAGATACTCAAAGTATATCAGTCATAATAACCTTTGAAAGAAAGTATTACTAGCTCCATTTCATAGGTGAAGATAGCAATGCTCATAGACATTATGTTACTAACAGTCACAGGCCTTTAACTGGAAGAAGTTACATGCAAATCCTGTCTCTCTGTCCTCCTTTCAAGTCCATGAACTGTCAATTGTTCAATGAACTAATGTGGTTTAGTCCAGCAGCTCTGCCTGCACCAGAATCCCTTGGAAGGCTTATTAATATAGGTCCTACCACCAGAGTTTCTGATTCAGTGGGTCAGGGTTGAGACCTGAGAATTTACACTTCTAAGTTTCCAGGAGATGTTAATGTGCTGATCCCAGGACCACATACTGAGAACCACTGATTTAGGCTAACTTATATATATATATTTTTATTAAATCACAGCTGTGTACATTAATGCAATCATGGGGTGTACAATGTGCTGGTTTTATATACAATTTGAAATGTTTTCATCAAACTGGTTAATATAGCCTTCATGGCATTTTCTTAGTTATTAAGACATTTATATACTACATTTAGTAGATTTCACATGTACCCTTGTAAGATGCACCGTAGGTGTGGTCCCACCAATTACCCTCCCTCCACCCATCCTCCCCCCTCCCCTCCCTCTCCCCTTTCCACAGAATCTGGACCCACACCTTCCTCCGTTAACTAAGATAGACTCTCACTGGATTAAAGATTTAAATTTAAGACATGAAACAAGTATAAAAATGCTAGAAGAAAGTACAGGGAAAACACTTGAACAAATTGGCCTGGGCAAATATTTTAAGAGGAGGACCCTCTGGGCAATTGAAGCAACATCCAAAATACATTACTGGGACCTGATCAAAATAAAAAGCTTCTGCACAGCCAAAAACACAGTAAGTAAAGCAAGCAGACAGCCCTCAGAATGGGAGAAGATATTTGTAGGTTATGTCTCCGACAAAGGTTTAATAACCAGAATCCACAGAGAACTCAAATGTATTAACAAGAGAACAAGTGATCCCATATCAGGTGGGCAAGGGACTTGAAGAGAAACTTCTTTGAAGAAGACAGGCGCATGGCCTGACACATGAAAAAATGCTCATCATCCTTAATCATCAGAGAAACACAAATCAAAACCACTTTGAGATATCATCTAACTACATTGTTAATAGGCAACTAAGAAAGTCTGTGACACTGCTTTATTATTTGAGATACTCTTTGTTTAAAGAATTTAGACTGAAAAAACTTGAGTAGAAATGTTATAAACTGTTCCCCTTAATCAGCAAGGTCCTGACCTAAAATGTTCTCCTTTGTTGTCACAAATAAACTATTTTCCAGATTCTTCAAGATTGAGTAAAAACTTTACCTAGCTAATCCTCAAGAAAAATGAATGAGCCCTCTTCAATACTTAAACAGTGCTTAATTCTTTTATCATAGCACTTTATCAAACTTGTTTTATGTGTTTATTTCCTCTCTTAGGGTCTTAGTTCCTTAAGGACAAGGCCCATCTCTCATCTGTGTCCTCTGTGACGAGTACACAGGCAATGTTATTGTTGAGTGAAAACATGAACTGACTAGACGATTCCTAAGAATGCTACCAACTCTAATACTGAAAACATCAATGGGGGCTCCATGCCTGTAGCTCAATGGCTAGGGTGCTGGGCCACATACACTGGGGCTGGCAGGTTCAAACCTAGCCTTGGCCTGCTAAACAACAATGACAACAAAAACAACAACAACAAAAACTAGCTGGGTGTTGTGGCAGGTACCTATAGTCTCAGCTACTTGTGAGGCTGAGGCAAGAGAATTGGTTAAGCCCAAGAGTTTGACGTTGCTGTGAGCTGTGACGGCACAGCACTCTACTGGGTGCGATGTAGTGAGACTCTGTCTCAAAAAAAAAAAAAAAAGAAAACGTCAGTAGGTTTTCCCTATGAACATACATATGACCCAGTGGCAAGATGGAATATTTCAAGATATCACAAGGTAGTCAATTGCTTCCTAAAATTTGAAAACTGCAACACTAATGTTTTTGCTCTCATGACTCCTGCAGGGTAGGGATTACAAATTGTGATCAGTGTGGCGCGTTCAAGAGCTCCAAACGCCTCGTGAAGGACTGCTCTTCAGTTCTGTCCGCACACGTTTTTCCCTTCAGTGCTCATCTCTGTTAGTCTAAGTCCTAGTCATCTTTCAGACTTACAGCAAGTATCATCCTGTTCATGATTTATTATGTGGGAGTAACGCAGCCTTCCTTTCGGCTTCCACATCTTCTGTTGATCTCACCCTACTACTCCTAATTTGCTCCTACTTTACAATTGATGTCTTGCTTATCTCTGCCTCCCAAAGTCATGAATCAACGAGCCTCCCTTGCCATTTCCAAGGTATTGCTACTTCCCCAGGTAAGACATGTTCTGGCCTAACCCTTCTCCTCTGGTCAGCCCAGAATTCACTCTCTGTCTAATAAGGAAGTTAGCATAAAACAGAACTGCAAGGAGACAGAATCCAGAACCTGATTCTGCTGGGGCTTTTAATGACTACAGATTCACATTTTTATTCATTAAATGTTATATTCAGGTTTAAATGGTTTATACCCTACTTCTCAAATCACTCTACCCCAAAGGGATCATAACATTCTGTGATATGACACCAACAATATTTGTTTATTGACTTCTTTTTCTACATACAGTGTTTCAAAATGTCCAAGTATTCCTTTCACTGAGATAGTAGTTGTAGAACAAGAATCAAGGGCATTGGAGATAAAATAAATCTGGTTCTAAACCCCAGCTCAGCACTTTCCAACCTGTGTGACTTGGGCAAATCCTTTAACATATGCTTCAGTTTCCTTATCTATAAGGTAGAGATGATGATGTCAGAGTCCTGAGGCTACTGCATAAGTGCCCGGCATAAGCTGTCTGATAAATAAAAGCTCTCTGAAATAAAATTGCTGTCATTTCAATTCTTGTCATTTAAGTCCTCCCCCAGATATATACCAAGCACATTTACATGGTTAAAGCAAAGAGAAAGAAAATGAACTAAATACACTAAACATTCAAAATTCACCAACACCATAAATAAAGCCCTAAAACGTTATATATCAGTTAAACTTTAAAGAACATTATAATTCAGAATATTTCAGAGGTAGATCTGACTTTACCTATGAAAAGTGCTTAGTAGGTTTCCAAGATATATATACTACTTGTTAGTACTTACTAAAGTAATGAGATTAATGGGAAAAGTACTTTCTGTTACATAAAGATAGAAATTTTAAATATGCTACCATTTTTAATTTTATTAGCAAATAAAATAGGTTATTTTCCTAGCAAAAATGAAAGGTTAAGAGACTATATGCTTGGCTTTATTTATTTACACCCTTCTCCCTATAGGGAAAATGTATGCCAAGTTACAATTAACTACGCACATTTGGAACATAATCTATTTCGAAATCGAGAACTGTTCAGAACTGTCTGAATTGATAGATAAACCAATTCACCATATCATTACCAATAAGTGGCCCTAAATATGATACTGACAATTCCCTTTGAGAACTTGACCCTATTTTTCAGACACATCTGTTATTAGATTCACTTCATGGCTCTCCATCAATTCTAGAGTTTATTTCAAATGGATCTAGAATCGGTTCTGAAGTAGTTCATAAAGAAACTAAATAATACCAGTGAATCACATTTACTTTTCATCTAATTGTTCAAATTTATTGCTCCAGTTATTAAAATTGTTGACAATTTTAAATTAAAATATTGTGCATCACTTATAGCCTCTGGATACAGGTAAATCTGACAATTACTATTTTCTTCCATTTTATATGAACTAAATTGACTACTCTGAAGAAAAACAGTGACTAATTGGTTCTTGGCAGTATTAAAAATACAGATAAAAATATAATATACCTTTGATTCAAGAAGGTCATAGTCTAATAAGAGGAAATAGACATGGATAAAAACACGATTATAAAATACTAAAGTTTCTCAAGCATTTTGCTTAAGTAAAGAATAGGTTTTATTTTATTTTATTTTTTTTTTAAGACAGAGCCTCAAGCTGTCCCCCTGGGTAAGGTGCTGTCACAACACCTGGCTATTTTTTTTATTATTTTTTTTTAAGATAGAGCCTCAAGCTGTCCCCCTGGGTAGAGTGCTGTCCCAACGCCTGGCTATTTTTTTTCGGTTGCAGCTGTCATTGTTGTTTGGCAGGCCTAGGCTGGATTTAAACCCGCCACCTTAGGTGTATGTGGCTGGCACCTTAGCCACTTGAGCCACAGGTGCTGAGCCAAGAACAGGTTTTATTGAATCACAGGAGAAAGGTAATACCCCTTTGGATTCACAAAACATACTTGATCTTCCTCCAGGTTACCCAAGATAAATAACTAGAAGGTATCTTTTTTTTTTTTTGAGAGAGAGAATCTCACTCTGGCACCCTGAGAGGAATGCCATGGCATCATAGCTCACAACAACCTCCAGCTCATGGGCCCAAGTAGTCTTCTTACTTCAGTTTTTCTGTTTTTAGTACAGACATGGTCTCAATATGGCTTGAGTTGGTCTCAAGGAGTTCACCCATCTTGGCCTCCCAGAGTGCTAGGATTACATGCATGAGCCACCACACCTGGCCTAAGATATTCTTAATATATGAACATTACTATAAATATATAAATTTAACTACATATTTGAATCCAAGCATACTAGTTTAAATTTAACTATATATTTATTATTCCTATATATGTATATCTAGCTATACATTGAATACAAATGCATGAGTTTAACTACTTTCACACAAACAGTAATTACAAGTCATCGATGACCACAGAACTGCTAAGACTGGACATCAGCCCTACACGAGCTTCTCGTGGGACTGAGTCTGCAGA